GATAACTTTTTTAAAAAATTCATCTCTCAGCAGCAACAAAGTAACTTTAATACACACACACACACACACACACACACACACACACACTTTGAATATTCAATCTAAGTCATTTCTTATAACAGATCCAACCTGGTAGAGTTGTTTGGAATCAGTTAAATACCATCAATATATTTTTAAGAAGTTGTTGAAATTCAATCAATTCTCATCAGAAATAACACAGATCCAATTTTTGTTATTTGCTTATGCATATTTCTATTTAACAAGGAGAAAAGCTATTTAGAGAATATTGTGTGATACCTTTTTGTTCAGCAATTCCATAGAGATCCTTATGTTCCTAACATTTCAAAGACTTTATACTAAACTGCTTCATAGTAAGAAGTTTTAAAAAGTCACTTCAGAGGCCTGAATGTAGCTCAGTGGCACAGTGCCTGCCTGGCAAGCCTAAGGTTGTGAGTTTGATCCTGGCACCAGAAAAGAAAAAAGGCACTTCAGATTGGCTGAGTTGCATAGACAGCATTTGATCTCCTGTTGCTCTATGTCCCCATTTACTTGGGACACCTCTCCGTGGATAGGCCTGCTGCTGAGGGTGAGTCCCATCTCAGGGGATTGGTGCCTGTCCTTGCAATGGCACTTGACCTTGTTCCTGATGCAGTGGCCCGGTGGGCCTGAGACAATGTCCTACAACTCATATACCCCAAAGGACCTATAAATGTCTTGTCTTCTTTCTTCCAGTGTGAATGATGCCACCCCTCAGGCAGTCAGTGCTGGTCTGCAGCTGCCAAGGCCATCTGTCTCTGCAAAGTGAGTGCCACAGACAGGAGAGCTTACGCAGCATGGCAGCCTGGCCTCGCTCGTGCAGTAAGACAAGTTCCTTGTAGACCTGCTCGCTATCCTGCTCTGGGTACCTCACACTTTATCAATAAGTCACTTTTAATTAAAATTCCTCTTTCCAAATCCAGTTATAACGGAAAACCAAGAGGGTAGCTTTGCATATTAAAGTAGGAAATATCCAACTTATAATGGGTGGATTTTCATGAGTCACTCAGCCACCCAGAGGCCTCCACAATAGTTAGGAGTTGTTTTTCTAGAAAGGTCAATCTCACCTTTGATTCCTGGCCATCCGACAACCCTGGAGGCCCAAACAGACATCCTCTCTGCCATCCCCAGTGCACTACTGGCTGAGCTGTGCTGGATTAGAAATGGCTTCCTGAAACATAAACCCAGATTTCCTGCACAGAGTCAGATAAAGTTAACCAAGGCACTTGCCAAATTTTCATTTAATGAAGGCTTCTGGGTAATATTTTTTGATCTAATTTTCCTTCTCTTATAGTTCCATCCCTTATGGCTTAATGCAATGGAACTGCATTAAAATATAAGCAAGCACAATATAAATCCAAAGTAACAAGAAAAGCTCCCCTATGAGCCCCCCTTTACCTCTTGTTCTACTGGGATGATGCCGGGGAGACATCCTGGCTTTGGAGAATCCATGTTTCCCTGTTGGCTGAAAAAAGGATTTCCAGAAGAATTTCAGCTCTGAACTGGGTTTGCTGCAAGCCCAGGGAGGAGACGCGCGTTTATATGGGAAACTGTTCCTGTTTTTCCTGAGTTCCTGCATTTCCTCTATGTGGAAATGATGACTAATTAGTATGCTCTATGACAAAGGATTACCTCCTAAATTCTCCTTAGGCTCTTCTTGGAAGATGTCCAAGTCTTTGGTGGGGGCTGTAGCAATGGAAACTATGGAGGGATTAATCTATGAGCATCCTAATCCCCCCTGTCACCAGTTTCCGATTGCAGACTGCAGGGGAAGCAACCTCTCATTACTAGGAGAAGCACTGTGGTAGGGGAGGATGCCCATAGATTCAAAGGGCATGAACAGAAATTCCAAGTGCAAACAAAGAAGGGAGTCAGGAAACACATTCCCTGAAACATTTTCATCAGCTTTCCCATAGCTTTCTAAAGGCAAGCACAGGGGATACTTTCTGTTCTGCCAGCTGAAACCAGTCACTCTAGCTGCTACAGTCAGGAAGCCAGGTTGGGGCACTTTTATTAGAATATAGACTGTCCCGAGGAACTTTGTTACAAAAAAGTACAGTATTTTTTTTGTCATGTTGACCATTCATACCAACACTAAAAAGGAAAATGACTTGGTAGAGGAAACTCACATGTGCAGGAAGAGGCATAAATCTTTAAAGAACAGAAAGACAGTGAACGACTATCCTAAGTATATTTGAAAATTAAAATTCTCTGTTACTTAATATGAGCACTTTAATTTGGTTGTCTTTTATTCCTTTGGTATTTCCACGAACCAAAGAGAAATAGTCAAGCTACAGTATCGTTTAATTTTACTTAATAGTAGATACCCTGAAGTGTAAAAATATAAGACCTTAAAGAGTCTGGAGAAAATATTTAAGCCTTAATTATGTTTCATCCATAAATTTTTAATTCTGAAATTCCATTGCATTAAGTTCTAAGCCATGGAAACTCACTGAGCTGCAAGCATTCTCCAGCTGTAAGAACTTTGGTCACCTTCGGTTACTAACACGGGCTACAGTATTACTCCCATTAAATCTATTGTTAAATACAAAAAGAAAAAGGAAACCTAGGAACAGGTGGCTTTGCTAAAGGGACTCCATGAAATCCAATTCAACAGGGAAAAAAAATTGACTTCTTTTTTTGAAAGCCAAATATTAACATAGAGGGATTTTTTAGTCAAAGGTCAGGGATTATTGCTAGTATAAGGATTATTGCTGCTACAGTGTTAATGCATGCACTGCAACCCTGTTAAATGCTTTTACTAAGTTGGAAACAGTTGCCTTAATTCTATAATGATGTTAATAGTAAGAATAGCAGTGCTGACAATAGCTGGCACTTATTAAGTGCTTACAGTGAGGTATCTCACTTAAATTCACAATTATCTAGAAGAGGTGGGGAGAGGACAAAGAGGGGCTCCTTTGGGTTAAAGTGTCATTCAGCAAGGGTCTACTGGACTCTTCTGCAGCCAGGTTATTGGATGGGGATGATGGTTTGCAAGAGTCTCCAGCCACAGGAAGTTTACCTGCCTTGCCTGATGCAAAAGCAAGTTTTTAATCCCACAAATTAAAAGTAAATCTCCCACATGTTATCAGTTGAAATCTTGAAGCTCTGGACCAAGTCTCAAATTTTCAGCAACGAAAATGCAGCAAGCTAAAAGGTTAACTTGATAATCGGTCCTGGTAGCCGGCAGGCAGATTACAAATGAAAGCAGTGGATAAGACAACATATATAGGAGGTCTGCTTCAAATGTCAAAAAATGATTTCTAAAATCAGAATCCCTTTTAACCCAGGAACTCAAAAGTTTCCCAAGGAGAGCTAAAATGGAGGTGATGGGTGGGTTTCAGAAGACCTACTTTGGCTACCATATATCCATAGTGAAAACAGAGAGGTACAAGTGGTCATCTCCTAGACAAACAGCTCATCACTCCTGGTCGGGTACTGACTTCTGAATCTCTTACTGGGTTTGAGGCTGTGATGCGGAGACTGGAAAAGCACAGCACACACTTGTCACTGGATTGTTCAGCTGGAGAACTGCTGACTGACTGACTGATTAGCAGAAGGTCAATTGGCCAAGAGGCCAGGAAATCCTAGGATGGGCAGAAGGTAAGATGACTGGAAGAGGCAGCATTGAACGTTGAGTGAGTTAAGGGGTGCAGAGGGCACATGCTTGAAACAAATAAGAGCCCATCTCCCATATTTTGGAAGGAGGTTAATTTGTGGAATCTGACACTCATTTTATTCCAACATGGTAGCTTGGACCTACTTCTTTTGAATGACATTGTATTTAATTTGTATTTCAGCAATAGGAACAAGTCAACACTTCTGTTTAGGATTCAGAGGCAATAAAAATTTGCAGACTTCTTACAATTAATTCTGTATTCTAAAAATATTATTCCTATAATCCTCCTTGATCTCACCACTGACATTTAGCCAAGTAGCTATTCAGAATATGTGACTTTCAGCAGAGAATATGACTAGCAAAATCAGTTTGGTAGATAGTAAATGGAGTCTTCCTTCTTCTTTAGCTTGATAAACTGTTGATTACATTTCACATTCCTTATGGCAAAACAGACATGCAATCCCATGTCTTCCGTCACACCAGGAACCACCATAAATACAGGCGCCCAGATGGAATAGTGGCATTAAGGATCCCTATCTAAAAGAAAGTGCCAACCAGGGCAAAAGAACTGAACTAATGACCCTAAAATAATTCTGGAACACAAATAAAATGTTTCAAACAAGGTTATTCAATTAGGGAGTAAAACTTAGTTGCCAAGATCATGGTGTTAAGGGCAGAGCACAGGCAGAGTGTTCCATGTGTCACCCACACATGTGCTGTAGCCACTTCAGAAACTCCCGGATTTCCTTCCCTTGATTTCTCTAAGAAACTTCAAGCAGTAAGTTGATTTAGAAGATCACAAGACAGTTACGGTGTTTAAAGTTCTCTTTTTCTAAGGATATAAAAACCATGAAATTTCATTGTTGCTCGGATTCCAAAAGGCATTCAATTTGTGACACCAACTGATTTTTACCAAGAATGTAATCCAGGAAAGCTCCTTTTCAATAGTATTTTTGCTTAGCCAATCAATTTAAGAAGCAATTACCACCCGTGCAATTATATGTCACCATGTGCCTTAATAGGCACCAAATGTGTGCCACTGAGATAAGGCAAGACCCTTTTACAAGTAGCGACAAATCAGAGAAAGGAAAACGTGGCAATTGTGTTCTCAATAATATGTTTCAGGATACTGAGCAGCAGAGCCAAATTTTTGGAAAAAATGTAACAAATAGGTGATATGATCCTGCTCAGGCAGGTTGAGGTATAAAATCCAAATGTCACCCCTGACCATATGGCCTTTTTTCTTGAGAAGATAAGCCTTCTCTAACAATGACATTCCACATGCATTTTTTTTTAAGCCAGTTAACTATACATCAGAAAAGAATTTTTAAAGTTTTGTACTCACCAAGGAAAAACAAGGGCTATAGTCTGAAAAGGAAAAAAGGAAAAAAAAAGTTAGTATTTTTGGTTGGCAGGTATTGGCTGCTACTTCTTTATCAACATTAGTTGCAGATGATCCTTTTGCTTCATTGTTCAGAATCTTCTAGGGAAATTTTTATTTTGACAGTAACTTCTTTTTGTTGCGATCATCAGCTTTCAACTTTGCTGTGATCTCTAGCTGTCAGTTGGTGGTGCAGTGTGACTGCTGGTCTAGCCCTGAAGTGCTTCAGTGTTCATCCCACAAGACTCTCCAGCAGTCTGCTGCTCCTAACACAGAATGCACCATTTTCTTGCCCCTGAAACAGTCCCTTCAGTTCATCCTCCTTGAAGATGGCCTTTGAAACCTGTCTGGGCAAGTCCCCTACCCCCAGCTTCCCCAGATATCCAGCCTGGCCATTAATTTAGTGCTCATGTCCTTTTACTTAAATGGTCTTACTAAAATATAATTTACATGCCATGAAATCCACCTGTCCAATGTGTGGAGTTCAATGGTTTTCAACATACTCACAAAGATCATAATCGTCTCTGTAATCTAAGGTAACCTTTTCATTATCCAAAAACAAATCCCATACCTATGAACTCATTAGCATCTGAGTCTTACCCACTCTTGTCCCCTGGAAACTACTAATCTATTTTCTGTTTCTGTGAAGTTCCTTATTCTAGACATTTGATACAAATGGGGTCATACAATATACGTGGCTTTTTACAAGAGGTTTCTTTCACTGAGTGTAAGGTTCTTTTTTTTTTTTTTTTTTTTAGCATAGTGTTTTTGAGGCCCAACCACATTGTGGAATGTACTAGTACTTTATGGACAAATCATATTTTATTACACATTTTGTTTATCCATTTCTCAGTTGATATACGTAGCTCTAATTCCTTGTGTGAGTAGGCATTATGGCAGTCTCATATGACACAGTTAGGCTGCCATATAACTGTGGGCATGGACAGTGCTCAGTTGTGATTTCATATTTATGGTGTTGAAAGGGTGGAATCATGTTTTGATTGTCACTATTTTAAAATAGGTAATGTAGTACATGATGTTTTCTGCCAAAAGAGACTACATGTTCTCTTAGCAAAACTATTTTAAACTAAATACAATAAATATTTGCAGCCCAAAATTATAATAGGTTGCTACAAATCATTATATTGTTATAAATTAAAATAGTTAACTCATGAAGTAGGTTCAAGGCCAAAGAATCAGAAGAAATAGTTCTGGTAACTAAGGGATTTTTAAATCTACTTGGATAAATCAATAGCTTAACATTGTTTATAATGGTGGGTATTAAATGCTTCTCCCCTAGGACTGGGAACAAAGCACAGGTGTCCACTCCCAGTACTCATATTTAACGTTGTAGTAGAAATCTTAACCAGTGCAATTTGGCAAGAAAAAGAAATAAATGTGTAGGATTTAGAAAGGAGAAAAAAATAAAACTTTTGTTTTCAAGTGACATCTATATAGTCCATATAGATAATCCACAGAACCCATAAAGAGTTTCTAAGATCACAGGATACAAATTTGATATATGGAAAATCATCGGATTTATAAATACTGATAATGACCATTGTGAAGACAATTTTTAAAGTACTCCCTATAATGTCACAGCATCTACTAGGAAAGCTATACAAGATAATAGGGAGATAACCTGCTAAGTAATATGAAAATTCAGAGGTTCCCCAGAGTACTGCGGAGTCCTGTATAACACAAAGCACAAGAATAGAGAAGAGCAGAAAAGTTCTGAGGATTAGGCAGCAGGTGGTATCTGATTATCACAGGGGATGGGCAAACTACTAGAATAATTTACTACAAGAGGTGAATCCTGTCATTCCCTCTAAAGCCAGGGAAGATGCTAAAAAGAGTCACTTGTGATGATTGTCTAGAGTCAAAAAAGGGGAGAAACTCAGAGTGGATCTTGCCTCCATTATTTTAGAAGAATTGATAGAAATGCTCAAAAATAAATTCTAATGCAGCACAGATTCACGTTCATGTAAAATAAAAGCCAGAGGCTTGCAGAAGCTTCTGGGACAGGGTAGTAGGTAGAGGCGGCAGACTTGAGTCAAACCAGACTAAAACTACAGGGAGAAAGCCAATCTGTTGTGTAATCTTGTCAATGGTTAGATAAATAAGTGAATAAGCAATTGACAAAATCCCAATCAAACATACTAGTAATTTCAAAATAATTTTAAAAGCGAGAATCACTAAAAAATGGCTGTTACAAAAACATATTTTACTGTTTTGTGGTTCATATATGATTGTATGAAACTGTGACTGTTGAATTTCTCTGAGTATAGTATGACAGCTAAAACTAAGCAACTAGATGTCCTCTAAAGTAAACCTTTACTAATTGAACATTTCTTTTAGCCCAGGGTCCTGACATAGACAGTCACTGTTATATTGAGCAAAGCATTGAAACAGTGAGACAGAAGCACATGCAAAAAATGGAACTGGGGTGAAGGGTTCAAGGGAACAGCTCTGAGAAGCTGGGTCAGTGAGGAGTTTGCATAACAACATTGCACAATCTAGACACTTCCTGCCCTTATCTTGAAGGGCAGCATCCTCCAAATAGGGGAAGCAGAAGTGATGTTAGATTCACTGTGACTGTCAGGTTCCTGGTGGGCTGCTTGTGATGTCTCGCTCACATTTCACAACTATCCTAGGAGGCAAGGAGAGCAACTTTAAAGATGGAGATACTGAGGCGTGGTGAGCCCTTCCTCACTGTTGTAGAGTCAGGCAGCAGAGAAGCAGGGATGCTCACCCAACCCATTTTTGGCTGGACTTCTGGAGAAATGCATCTTGCATTATAATTCGTTTTTATTTGCTTGCGTTTTGTTTTGCTTTGGCTGTAGCTCTATCCCTCGGTTGGCCTCCTCTCTAATTCCTAGTGTCTCCACTGTATACAGCAATGAAAGCCTCAGAAAGGTGCTTGGTTAAGGACACAATGATACTGATCATTCATTCCTTAAACATCTCTTCTAATTCTAGGGAGAGCACCACCGTGTTCTGTGCTCTAGTGGTATACAGAAAAATATACTGCCCATTTCTTTCCCATGGAGAAAAGAGGGAGTTTGAGAATGGCATGGCTTACAGAGGCCTGGACCAACCCGGCCACAGAATTGGAGCTTAGGCTGGTGGGTACCAGAGCACAAAGCCACATCATTCTGTTTCCAGGAAGCAGAACAGGGAGGATGCCCAGCCCACCCTTGGTGACAACATCAAAATAGAAGAAATCCACCCTAAGGAAGGTGGGGAGGGCAGGCAAGTTCAGCCTAAAGGGTCAGCACTCCTAAAGGAAGTGCCTGGTGGCTGGGCTTCGTCCTGATCATTCCCAAGATAAGGAAAGGCCAACCCAACAAAGTTACTATGAATATGAACTTTTTCAAAGAAGAAAATAAAACTACAGCATTCAGAATCAGCCCATTGGCACCATTCATTTTAAGAGAAAAACTAAAGCTATTTCTCAGATGGACAAACATGGCCAATGTTTCCAAATTCAGACAAAAATAAGATGTCTTTTGTATACACCCGTGGCCTAACACATTGTCGGTATTTGAGTGGGTAGCAACTATGGTGCTTATCAAAAGCCTCTCCTCTGAATGGACAGTAACATTTATAAATCTTTGTATGCACATTTGCACTTTATTTTGAGATGATTATGTACCCATTTCAACATGTACAATGGAAGTAAAATGTGAACCTTTTATGATGGATTAAGTTTTTAAAAGCGAGCACATACAAAATGCTGCTTCATGCAATTAAACACTGGGGATTGGTCTCAAAGAAATTTTATTGTGACTGATCAGACCCTTGAGTCAAATTCTGCAATCCTGGCTGCATTCTCTTGGGCTCTGATTTTCCCCAAAGACAATGGACTGTGCTGATTAATGCGTGAGGACATGGGTAACAAGTCACTTCCTCTCACTCAGGGTAACCCTCAAGCACAATGACTAGGACCAGGAATTACCCTGCAGGTTGGGGTGTCCCCAACTACACACAGGAAAATGACAGAGACCCAGTAACATGACCACATGCAGTGGGAATGGATGGGTCCCTGGCAACGGCACTCCATTTGTCTCTGTAGACTGTCAGACAACTTCACTTTGCTTCCAGAAGGGTTTTCAAATGATCAGGGCAAGTGCGTGGTGTTTCTGAGTCTTCTAAGCTTCAGATTCGCACTGATATCATACTCTGCCAACTTTCACAGTTTCCTTGTTTACCTTCCAGGCATCAGCAAAGCTGTTAATTTCTGTATTTTCTGATGCATGAAAGTCTGGAAGGAGCTACTGATATTGGGGGAGAGAAACCTCCTTAAAATGAATGAATTCGGTAAAACCTAATTAGGCCTACTCCACAGCCTCAAGCCACACTGAGAAGGAGGTGAAATCTATAAAGTGATGTTGGTAATGCTAGGAGGAAAAAATACCCATTTTCTCCACCATTCATCTTGTCAACCCAAGACAAGCAAGCAAGACTCCTAAATATTTGGCAACTTTTAGCAATTATTCACGGGCAGCTGCTCAGTGAAGATCCACATGCACCCTGCCTACTCCTTAGCACAACCCTCCCCATCTCCAAGTACACACAAGGCTCTTCTCTAATTACTCCCCAGCGGGGGTACCCTCTTTGGATAAGAAAACTATGCAAATTAGCAAACCAGAGAAATCCTTTTTGCAAGTACAAATGTCTGTTGGTTCCTATAGTGCCATGTCTGTCATCTGTCTCTAGCATTGCCATCAATGTGGAATTCAGGCGCTCAGCAATTCAAATCTGTTCTCCTGCAAGGTTGGGGGTATTTTCCCAAACCTAGAGGAGAGGGTACACATAGCTTCCCAGATTGGGAGAGTCCCTGTTGTGTTTTCAAAAAAAGTCTTCACCCCATGAGCAGCTTCTTTGCAGGACTGAAGGTGAGCCATCATGTGAACATCTACGTTAAGAAAAGGAGCATTACCTAATTACAGATACTCTGTGCCAGATGCGCTATGGTGATCATTGA